GCCGCAAGGCATCCGTCCGCTTGCGGACAAGATCGAGGCCCTACGAGTATGGCCCGAGCCCACCAACACCACGGACGTTCGTTCATTCATGGGTTGACGGGCTACTATCAGCGATTCATCACCGGATACTCCAGGATTGCTGCACCTATGACGAGGTTACAGTCGCCAAAGGTGCCATTCGTATTCGATGACGACGCACGCCGGTCATTCCAAGCACTTAAGGCGGCTATGCTCATGGCACCCGTCCTTAGCATCTATGACCCCACCCTGCCGATGCGAGTGACTACGGACGCTTCCGGCTATGGCATTGGGGCAGTCTTGGAACAGCACGACGGAGACGACTGGCACCCTGTGGAGTATTTCAGCCACAAAGTGCCTCCCATCAACTCGCTTGATGATGCAAGGAAGAAGGAGCTGCTCGCATTCGTGATGGCTCTCAAGCGCTGGCGACACTTCCTCCTTGGGCGTCGTAGGTTCACATGGGTCACAGACAACAATCCATTGACCTACTATAAGACGCAGGACACGGTGAGCAGCACGATCGGACGATGGATGTACTTCATCGACCAATTTGACTTCACACCGAAACATGTACCCGGCCTCTCCAATCGCGCAGCAGATGCACTCTCGCGAAGACCTGATCTTTGCGCTATGACACATCATGCCTTCGCATTCGACGGGGAGCTTCAGCGACACTTCATCCGGGCATATCAGTCTGATCCGGACTTCGGCACGCTCTATGCACAACTATCTTCGGATCACCCGCCGGCCAGCCATTACCGCATTGCCGACGGGTACTTGCTCCTCCACTCGATAGGCAAGGACTTACTATGTGTCCCACACGACCGTCGTCTTCAGACTCACCTCCTCGGCGAGTATCATGATTCACGACTCGCCGGCCATTTCGGAGTCAACAGCACTATTGCACGGCTTCGACAACGATTCCGATGGCCTGACCTCGTTACCGATGTCACTCGGTATTGCGACTCTTGCGAAGTTTGTCAACGCAGCAAGCCCCGCAACCGCAATCCCTACGGCGAGTTACACCCGATGCCTATCCCACGGGAACCCGRTCTCTCCACTGCCATGGACGTCACCGGTCCGTTTCCTCGCGACCGGCTCGGGCACGACGGCATCCTCACGGTTGTGGACCGATTGAGTAAGTACGCGCGTTTTCTCCCTTGCAAGTACTACTCCACGGCTCCCGAGYTGGCACGCCTCCTGCACACTGGTTGGATTTGTGGCCACGGTGTACCAGAAGATATTGTCAGCGACCGCGACACTCGTTTCATGTCGGCGTTTTGGACTGCTCTCATGCAGGAGTCCGGCACAACAATGAAACCAAGTTCGGCTCGACATCCTCAGACAGACGGGCAGACGGAGCGGGCACATCAAACCGCTCAAATGATGCTTCGTACGCTCATCCGTCCGGACCAGAAAGATTGGGTTGACCGCCTCCCCGACAAAGGCCGGATCTTCGCCGACCTTCTCCTCCCTCGACCAGCCGACATTGACGCTGCCTGCTCTCCCGCTTTCGTCCGGAAGTACAGGGAATTGCTGACTCAAGCCCGTGCAAATATGCAAAAGGCTCAAGTCGGCATGCAGCAGCAAGCCAACAGGCGTCGCGTACCATGTCCCATCCGCGCCGGTGATCTGGTTTGGGTCTCCGCGGAAGAGTTTGCACTGGAACAGGATGTTTCACGCAAACTGCTTCCCAAGTGGTTTGGACCTTGGTCTGTGACAGCAGCCGCGGGCGATGAGCCCGATGGCCCTTCATTTGTGATCAACATTCCAGAGCATCTGACGGTCCATCCCGTCTTCCACGCCTTGAAGCTGGCAACATACACGCCGGCCAAGAGCGACGACTTTCCGGACCGACGATCGCAGGACCCTCCTTCTATGGATGGCCATCAAGAAGTTGACCGCGTCATCTCYGATCGCAAGTACGGCAGCAAGCCGCGGCAGTACAAAGTCACATTCAAAGCATGCGATCGCGACGACACTCGGTGGATTTCAGGCGCAGATTTGAAAGCATCCGCACCACTAATCTACGTGCATTATGAAAAGCGGAGGTTAGCTCAGGAAGCTTCACGACCAGCCCCTCCCACCCGGACTGTGGTCCCTCCCTCAGACAGACAGCTTCGCCCTCGCAGGTAAGCTCGGTTCTTC